GGCTGTTGCATTTTCTCTCTTCTAACTGATGGATCATCCTGTCGATGAAGGCTGAGGTCCAAATTCCCCAGATGACTTTGCATTTTTTCAAGCTACTCGCACTAATCCAGAGAAATAATCTAGCTCAAGGGGCAAGTTTTACCACTGTTCTTAGCATCATTTTAATATATATTCTGAGAAATGAGGAATCAAATTGGCTATAAGTTACTGAGACTGCAGTAATGGATTTGACATCAAATAGACATAGATCATACCATGGCTCTCCTTCATACAACTGTGTGACTTGGGGCACATTATTTAACTTCTGAGAGTTTTAATTTATCTATAAAATACATTTAAACCTACCTCATGGGATCTATGTGGAGGTAAAACAAGATCATGCATTTATAGCATTTAATATAAAAAGTTTTCAAAATTGCTGCCATTATTCTTCATTAATTTACTAAATATTTATTACACACCCAAAATGCTTAGGTCTAGGAAAATAACCCTGAGCAATATAATCATGCAAATACCTACTTAAAATCCATGATAACTTCCCAAAGGAGAAAGCACTTTGTGCCCTATGAGCTGTAAGTGGTGAGTAGGAGCAGGTGGTGGTCAGCGAAGGCTTCAAAGGGAAGTGATGTTTGAACAGAGGAGGAAAGGATGGTGAAGACTTAGCCTGTTGACAACGTGGAAAGAACATTCTCAGCAAGACAAACAGCATTTAGAAGACATTGAGATGAGTGGGAACAGGTCATGTTGGAAAGTGGATGCAGGGCACCTTGGGAGGGGTACAGGCAGAAGGAGAGAGCAGCCCAGACAGAGCCCAGGCTGTGGTCTTACCCTCAGAGAGATGGGCAGCTATTGAAATGTATTAAGTTGGGAGTGTGAGCAGGTGGTAATGCAGCATGATTAAATATGTTCAAAGCACACTCTGCTTACAGGATATGAAGCAGATTTAAAGGGGCAAGGGAGGATATCAGACATACTAAGGAAACTACTACAGGAGTCTAGGCAGCCAAGGTGACATCTTGGACCAAGGCAGTGAACCTGGAATGGAGGCGACAGAACCAAAAGAAATTGAGTGTAAAATCACCCAGTCTTGCTTTGTGATGGATGAAAGCAGTGAAAGAAAGACTCTGTGGGTGATTCCTGTGCTTCCAAGCTTCTTTTCCCTGGGCTACCTAATTGTACTATTGAATCTACTGTGGCGAGAGTACAGTGTAGACATCACAGGGAAGCAAATGGCAGAAACAGAAGAATTAGACACTTTTTACCTTTGAATAGCTGCCAATGTTATGGCTTCACTGAGCAGATGGGTTGCTTCTACTATAGTGTGGACTGACTATTGTATAGCTGTCATATTACTCTCTCGTCATACGTATGTGTCCTCTCCCAAATCCTGCACTGACCTGTCCCTGTAGAGAAGATCCAGTCTGCAGTCAGGTGTAACCAAACTCCCCTGATAAAATTCCAGCAGGCAATTCCGCCCATTGATGTAAGGTGTCCCATGGCACAGAAGAGGGTCCTGGGAGGTGGAGTCAGAAGAGGATGGGTTTGGGGAGGTTGGGGAGCTCAAATTTGGTCAGGCCTCTGCAAGGGAGCCTGAGGACACTACCCATCTATAGTGGGTGTTGTGAGTCGAGCCCTGCCTGAGTCTTTGCTGCCTTTTCTAGGGGACCATGGTCTTTACTAATTTGACAGCCCTTCACAAGGACCCCACTGAGTGGGCTACTCCTGACACCTTCAATCCAGAGCACTTTTTGGAGAATGGACAATTTAAGAAAAGGGAAGCCTTTCTGCCTTTCTCACTGGGTGAGTTGTAATAAAGGGAAATGGGAGAGTGCAGGATCCCTACCCTATTATGCTCCCTGTAGCCCCTTCTGTAGCGGGAATGTCTCCAGTCATCCCATCCAGTGTGACTCCACCCTAATGTTGTTGCAGCCCCAGATTCCCCGGGCTGGACATAACTTCACACCTTCCTTATGTCCTAGGCCCTTCCTGGCCTTGAGGGAGATTTCAGCTTGTTGTTCTGTCCTCCAGAACACTGAGGACTGAGACCCAGATGTCACCTCTTACTCGCAGAAGAATGGACACCTGGCCTCTATAGAACATCTAAATGTTCCAAGTTCTTTTTAAGGACTTCCTATCACACAGAAATGGAGCTAATTTATAATAAGGAGATGGGATGCAGTAAGGGAAAGGGCAAATTATGGGTATCACGCTGTGACTCTGAGGATCACTGGTTTTACCAAGTTGGGTCCTACTCTGTAACTCTCCTTGCAGATGTGTTTTGGCCTTTCTAACACTAGTTACTTTTTAAAAAGCAAGTTAGTGGGACCAGCAGTTAGTGTAATGGCTATGTCACTGGACTCCCATGTAGTCAACCACGGTTCGAGTCCCGGACCCGGTGACTTAACCTCACGCCGGGAGCCTGTGCGTGCATGCCCAAGATCCCAAGAGGAGAATGGAGAAGAAGGGATTGCGGTGTGGCCACCCCCCCAAGGGGGGGGATTTCCCACTTTCTGTCTCTCTGTCTCTCTCTGTCTGTCTGGCGAGAGCACGCACCCTATGGCAAAAATCTCTCCAAAAAAGAAAAAAAAAAAGAGCAAGTTAGTGCACTTAGATGGTGAACAACTTCGAAATGTGGGGAAGAATGAAACTCTTTTTTCAAGCCAACACTTCTGAAGGAGTCATATTATTTAGTAAAAATGTAAAATCAATAATGAAAATTCTTAGTGTACTTCCAACTTTTGAGTTTGATATGTTGCATAGACTGTTTCAAATGGTTCCCAATTCCATAAACATTCTCTGAGATCTATTATGTGTTGGGCACTTAGCTCTGATCATATAACAGTGAATGAAACAGAGAATGAAGCACACAGAAGTGTTTTTCTCAAGCAAGCATATGATCTAACATAATAATACAAGGTCCAAATCATAGTCACTCTCCAAGTAAGGAATCTGTGCTTTAAGGAAGTATGGAAACTGAAGGCATAAAATTAATGTGGCCGAGAAAGTCCAATTTTTTAAAAACTAAAGCTTTTGGTCCAGCAGATGGCATAGTGGTTATGTCACTGGACTCCCACATGGTGAACTGTGGTTCAAGTTCTGGACCAGGTGGGTTGAAACTTATGCTGGGCATATGTGCATGTGTGCCCAAGATCCCAGAAGGAGAATGGAAAAGAAGGAATTGCATCATGGTCATCCCCCCCCCAGGAGGTTTCTCATTTTTCCTCTCTGTTTCTGTCTCTGTTTCTCTCTCTCTCTCCCTGCTGAGTGCATGTTCCCAAAGACAAAAACCTCTGCTGAAACAAAAAACTAAAGCTTAGACTTTTACTTATATTATCTCCTGAAAATTACTAAATACTGCATAGAACTGACACTGCCAAATGCTTGATAGTTTGTCTATCATTAACTTAGAATATAATATTGATTTCCTGAGACAATATTATTTTGCTAATACTGCCCTTAAAGCTCATAAAGGGAGGAACTGGAATTTGCTCTCAGGCCTGTGTGACTCCCAGGTCCACGCTTTCCCTCTGTGCTGTGCTGCCCTGGACAGATCCAGGCCAATTCTGATTATATCCTTTGTTCCATATCACCTGGTTCCATGTCACCTCTGCTCTATTGGACAAACCACTTCTAGTAAGAAAGCTAATACAGGTTGTAGGATTACCTTCCAGACTTCCAGTCTACAGTCATTTCAGATTTTGTTCCACAGCACAAACTATTAACGATATAGTTCAATTATTATCATTATCCAAATTCCTTAGCTCTTGTACCAGATCCATGAAATGCTGAAATGCTAGAAATGTGACTTTATGGAATCCACAAAAAATGCCTGACCTAGTATTTGCTGCGACTGTGATGAGAAGAATCTTAACATGACTATGGCTTTAAAAGGAATAGGGATCCTGTAGGCCAAGTACTGCCTTGACATACTCTTCCCTTGAATTGCAGAAGCCACTTCATCAGAGTTGCTCCATGTGTCTCCTGTCTAAGAAAATCCTACCATCAGCACTAGCTGTAGTACATAAAGAGCAATACTCAGGGACTCCCTGGTGCTTTACTGGTGAGAATTCTATCACACCCTCTTAATTACAGACATCATTTGCAAGCAAATGATCTCACTTAATACTTACAGCATCTCATTATTAATAGTTAGATAGCAAATGTGTTGGCCTCTCTTTTCTTAATATAAGGAAACTAAAAAATTAGACAGTTGTTTCTTATTCATATCACATAACCAAGGAACTAGCAGAAAAAAAGACTCAAGTTTATACTTCTAGTCTGTTCTTTTCAGTATTAACTAGAATGTAACCATTAAGGGGCCCTTCACATTAATATTCACTGAGCTCATACAATATACGTCAGCATATCGCTGCATAACAACTAGTCCAAATCTCAGTGGCTTAAAACAATAAACATATATTATTGCTCAGGAGTCTACAAATCAGATATACGTCTCTGCTGATCTTTATTGGACTCTCTAATGTTTGAGAGATCAGCTGATCGAGAGCTGATCTAGGATGACATCAGCTAGGACAATGGGACTTTTCCCCATGTTACCTCTTAGTTTCCTGACTGGTTGTTTAGAAACAGACAGTTAATGGGACCAGCAGGTGGTGTAATGGCTATGTCACTGGACTCCCTCCCATGTAGTCAGCCATGGTTTGAGTCCTGGACCCTGTGGCTTAAACTCATGCCGGGTGCATGTGCGTGCATGCCCAAAATCCCGAGAGGAGAATGGAGAAGGGATTGCAGTGTGGCCATCCCCCTAGGGGTGATTTCTCAGTTTCTGTCTCTCTATCTCCCTCTGTCTTTCTAGTGAGTGCGTGTGCCCTATAGCAAAAACCTCTAAAAAAAAAGATATTTAATTCAAACACCAAGGAGAGAATCTGGGTGTCCTTTCATGTAGGCCAAAGTTCTACATGCAATAGTCTTCTGTTACCTACTTTAAAGCCTCCCACATCTGTTGTCCTACACTCTGCACCTTCACTCCTGAACCTCACCTGCCCGTCCCCTGAAAACATTGGACTTTGCGATCCTAGACTTCTGCTTTCTGTGTTTGGTGAACCCAGGTGGTCATGAGACTTAAATCACCTGCGGAACTAAGACCTCGGGGCCTCGCAGGCCCTTTCTTTGCTCAGACTTTGCAGGATATGGTCAAGGGTGTCAATCCTTGCTAGGCATCAATGCCACCTGGGTAGACTACTCCTCTTCTGTTTTTGTCTTTCAGGAAAGCGGGCCTGCCTTGGAGAACAGTTGGCCAAGACCGAGTTGTTTATTTTCTTCACTTCTCTTCTGCAGAAGTTCACCTTCAGGCCCCCAAACAATGAGAAGCTGAGCGTGAAGATCAGAGAAGGCATGACTATTGCCCCTGTCAGCCACCGCCTCTGTGCTGTTCCTCGGGCTTGATGTTGTTGGGGTGGGGGGAAAAAAAAAACAGAAAGAAAATCAAGAAGAGATAGCATGTGCTCTGAAGCCACTAGTGCCTCCTAGAATGTGAGGGGACAGAAAGAAAGTGACCATGAGGAAAGATGAGAGGAATTAGAGGAACCTGGATTCAAATCCCAGCTCAACAGTGACCCTCAAATCAGCTAGCCTTGAGCACAGCTTCAAATGCTCTGTGATGTACCTTTTTATCTGAGAGAGGAAAAGAGCACAGTGATTCCTCCTAAAAGAAAGTTTTTGTAAGAATCAAGGGGAATAGTGGACTGTAAGCGCAGTATAAGCCATAAAGTGCATCCTAAAAGTGACTGCTGTACCCTGTCTCCTTCCTTCCTTTTTTCTTGGACATCTGTGTCTTTGTTTCTGGTCTGTTGAAGTAGTTGAGGACAAAGTGTATCAAAATAGTCGGTAAGAGTTAGAATTTTGATGCTGTGGGAAGTCTTAGAAGTTGACCATAAAGGCTTCCCAGCTGGGTAGCTCTGTACCTGCCTAAGTCTGCCTCAGACTGGCCCTCTGAGAGGCCAGCAGGGCAGGTATTAGTCCCTTTTCACAGGAGGGAAAGCCAGTGCTGCTGAAGCAATCTCTGACTTACATAAGGAAGCTGGAAGCTTTTACCTTGACCTTGGATCTAGTGCCAACCAGGGCTCAGCCACAACTAACCATACCTGGGAAGCAGGTTAAAGAACACATGTGGAAATATTTTCCATCTCTAATACTCCACTGCTTAGCCTGAAATCCTCCATCAGGCATTTATTCCCATGCTGTTTCACAGTGGATTTAACTGCATCATGGGGATGGTCTTATTCTGCAACCTGATTTAAAGCTTTCAGTGCCCAGTAGAAGCCGACATCGAAAAGTTTATGGAAGGGTGGAATTAAAGTATGAGTTTACTTTGGTACTTTAATTCTGAAATCCATATCTAGTTCCACTGTATATTTTCCATGAACTTTTGGAAGACCCATGTATTACCAGCTTCACCCCACTAAGCCTTTTTAGAGAATTTTGACAAAAATATCAGAATCCTGCTCTCTCTATGTGCGGTGAGTGGCGAGAGATAAAGGCCATAAAGTCGAGGTCAGGTTCCACTGATAGTTCATGAAGTTCTGACCCCGGTCAATCAAATAAAGAAACAAAACAGCCATGGTAAACTAAACTGTGGTAAAAAAAAAAAATCTTCTTACTAAAGTGGTTAGACCTAAATAATGTGAATAGCTCGGAACAGTCACAAGGCTTTTCTTTCGTTTTCTGTGGAATTCAGTGAAAAGCCAATTCCACTGACACTGTGAGAAAGGGAACTCAGACTTTTTTGGTCGGTGTCCATGTTTGGCCAGAGCTAGCCTAAATGAGCAGGGAGAACCTAAAAAATAAAAGAAAGAAAGAAGGAAAAGAAGCCTACAAGAAAGTGTGAGGAGTTTGAATATGTGGGAGGAGGGTGTGATCCTTCCTGTCTGGTAAAAGAAGGAAGAGAAGTGAGGGGCCACCTGTGTGCACTTTCTGTGTACCCCACCGGGATAGTGCTCCTCTAGGAAACAAGCCAAGTGATAGTCCATGACTAGAACCAGCTTTGGGAGGCCTTGAGCTTCCCACACGTCCAGCACCTTGGCTTGCCCTTCCTTTTATTCTCCAGTCACATCACCCAAGAGACTCAGTGGGGGATTGTCTAAAACCCTTTACATGACCTGTCTCCTTTTTTTTTTCATCTGTGAAATAAAGGACTTGTTGACCTCTCTGAGTCCCATTCCTGCTCTACTGCATATGCCCTGTGATTCTGGACGGGCAGGCACCATCCACTACTGAGGAATAAAAATAAAGCTACTTGAACTCCTCCTGATATAACGAGTGCAGTGGAACCCAGATCCAAGTAGATTGTGACCACAGTTAACCAGAAACCTTAGGGACTAGATGACTGTGGAAAATGGATTTTCTGGTTTTTTTTTTTTTTTTTCAAAATTTGTTGGAGAGACTCTAAAATATGAGCCCTCTTCTTGTCCAAGCATTACACAAAGATTTTTTATATGCATGTTTGTAATTCTCATGCCCCCATCTATTTTGGAAGCTCCATGGCCTCATACCTCCTTCTTTGAATCGATGCCTGGCACAGAGTGTGTTAGTGGTATAAGATGGCCTTTGGCGTCATGGACAAGGAGTGAATTTTACTGAAAGGGGGCCCAAGATAGGAATCTCCTCTCTACCCCTCTCCTGCAAGGACATACACACATACACATATGCCACATACACATATGCAGTTTAAATTCAAAAATGGTTTAGGACAAATTAGGTAACCATGCTAGTTTCAGTCTTCTTCATAAAACCCTCCTTTTAGCCAGGTGTTAGAAAGACAGAGAAGGACCAGCAGTTAGTGTAATGGCTGTGTCGCTGGACTCCCACGTAGTCGACCGCGGTTCGCGTCCTGGACCCGGTGGCTTAAAACTCACGCTGGGCGCGTGTGCGTGCATGCCCAAGATCCCTAGAGGAGAATGGAGGAGAAGGGATTGCGGCGTGACCATCCCCACTGGGGGGTGATTTCTCGCTTTCTGTCTCTATGTCTCTCTCTGTCTGTCTGGCGAGCACACGCGCCCTATAGTGAAAATCTCTCCAAAAAAAAAAAAGACAGAAATATTCACAGTATGGGGACCTTATTGTCTCATCAGGAACACAGAGATCTGTGGTCCTTACTCTCATCTAAAATTATGTTAATGAGAATAGGACAGTGTGGAATGGGGTAAGTGAAGAGAAGAGGATAGAGAAAGATAGCAAGTGAACAATAGAGAGACAGGACGTTAGTGAGAAACAGATAGGGCTTATTAACTGTTGATGATGACATGTATAGTATTCTCAACTGGATTGGTCTGAGAAGTATTTCATGATGGGCAAAGTATTTTTTACAAGCAAAACGAGAAATAGCAATTGACTGTTTTATAAAAATAATTAGAATAATAAAAATAATGATTGGGGAAAACAGAAAAGATATGGAATGTTGAAGTGGGGAGATTAATGTCTCTGTACTGACTGACATGCATGGCATTCCCTTTTGAAAAAACAATGTAATACACTGTAAAGTTATATGTAATCCAATGTAATATAAAGAAGATTATGATGATAATAAAAATTAAAAAAAAATTATGTTGAGAAATGTGCCAAAATCATATTCATGGTATTGCTCCATAGATTCCTGGCTTCTAGAAGTCTGATGCCATTGTTCTATGTGATTCTTTGACTATGACCTCCCATTCTATGGAGTGCTTTAGGGACATCTGTTTACTCTAGCGCTCTAGAATTCTTAGATAATGTGCCATTACATGAGTGTCTTTCAACCATTGTGTTGGACACTCAGCCTGTATCTGGGATCTGGGTCGTGTCTCTGTGTGTGTGTGTGTGTGTGTAATTTCTCAAAATGTAATTTTCCTTACCTGTTCATAATAGTTAAGATACTTGATTCCAAGGCTTCTGTGCCTGAGTAGAACAAAACTGAGGATTTTACTATAGATTTTTGCTAAATCCTAATCTCAGTGTGGATCCTCTCCCTCATGGTCTGCTATGCCAAGTGGTGTCAAGTTCTGACCTTTCCAGTTTAGTTTCTCTGCAGAGCACATGTCCTACTTCTTGCTAGGATATAGAAAGGGTAATGCAGCAAACGATAATAGAAGGATCTGATGATAGTACAGAAATTGAAAGAACGCAATATTCTTTCTAGCTTTATGCCTCACCCCCAGCTTTCCTGACACTCCAGTTTTGAGGTATTCCAAGATTCTACAGTGGGAATGGAATTGCTTTGGGCTGTCTTTACCCTTGCAGGCCCTGGTGTTCAGCTCTCTCCTCCCTGTTGATACTTTCATCATCTTACCTTCCATGAACAGTTTAGTTGTTGGTTACTGTATTCAACAAACCATCCAGAAATTTAGTAGTTTAAAGCAAAAATTACCCCCCCCCAAAAAAAAGCAGACCAGCAGATGGCGCAGTGGTTATGTTGTTGGACTCCCATGTAGTCGACCATGGTTTGAGTCCTGGACCCGGCAGATTAAACTCACACTGGGCGCGTGTGCATGCATGCCCAAGATCCCAAGAGGAGAATGGAGGAGAGGGGATTGCAGCATGGCCATCCCCCTGGGAGGTGATTTCTCACTTTCTGTCTCTCTGTCTCTCTCTGTCTTTCTGGCGAGCATACACACCCTATAGCGAAAACCTCTCCAAAAAAAAAAAAAAGAAATTTCTTCTCTCAGTTTTTGTTGGCCAAAAATTCTGGGAACACCCAGGCTTTTGGGTGGGGATTCTGACTTGGGATTTTTCATGCAGCTCTAGTCCAAGAGTGCCAGAGCAGGAACAATGGGACAAAAACATAGACGAAGTATGGGACCAGCAGTTAGTGTAACGGCTATGTTGCCGAACTCCCATGTAGTTGACTGCGGTTCAAGTCCTGGGCCCAGGGTCTTAAACTCACGCTGGTCGCGTGTGCGTGCGTGCCCAAGATCCCGAGAGGAGAATGGAGGAGAAGGGATTGCAACGTGGCCATCTCCCTTGGGAGGTGATTTCTCGCTTTCTGTCTCTATGTCTCTCTCTGTCTCTCTGGTGAGCACACACACCCTGTATCAAAGACCTCTTCAATAAAAAAGAAAAAAAAAAAAGGGAGAGAGACAGAAAGGCTGTCTTTTTCTATCTTATTCTATTTATATTTCACTCATGGCAGTTAGCATTGCCCAATATATCATTGTGTGTGTGTATATATATTTTTTATCTATATATTTATATATTATAAACAATATATTTGAAAGCAAGCCAACAGGTCCAGGACTCAAACCGCAGTCAGCCACATGGGAGTCTAGCACCCTTAACCACCATGCCACCTGTCAGCCCCATCTGGTCCAAGTTTTATCCTATACCTTACCTGCTTGCTAGTTGGCTTTCATGATGGTAAAAGCTCTTAGGGTGGAAGTGATGAGCAGAGTTCAGTGTTTTCCCTGGTGTGGTACAACCTTGTACTTCCCTAACTCATGGAATGTTGGCTCCATGCCATTTTCATTGTTCTCCTACAGTTGGGGAGTACAGAGAGAGGTCTGGCGGTGTATGAAATTAAAAGTTTTGGAGGAGGGCTTCTCTCACCTTCTCTGTGGTTTGGAGGGTTCTGGATTGTCCCTAGTTTAGAACATTGACTCATTCTTTATTTCTCAAAGCTGATATATAGTACTTCAGAGAGTTCCACAGTCTTTTCCTTGCAGTTATCAGTCACTGCACTCCACTTCTGCAAGCATAGCCGTTTGTTTAACATTGTGGTCTTCCCTCCCAGCGAGATTCTGCTGTGGGTGTTTATATCCAGCCAGCCTGATTCTCCTTCCAGAGATGGGTTTTCAGCATTAGTTTGCCATCTTCCCAGGTCACAGTATCCTGAATAACGCTACCTTTATTTTCTTTTTTAAATTTATTTTATTATTTTATCATTTATTTATTTATTTTTATATTTTCTCACAAATATTCACTTTACATATCAAAAAAAATTTGCTCATACCCCATAGTTCTTGACAGTTAATAAACAACTTTCAAAATGTCAAAAAGCTGAAATTTAAAGTTAATGTGTGAAATATTTGTTATATTTTTGTTTGTGACTCTATAACAGAGATAGTATGTTTTAAATATTTTTGAGAAAATATTTACATGTCAGCTACTCAAACTGTTGCAAAGCAAACACCCAGCACACACGTCACACATAAACTTTCTCAATTCAGCCCTGCCTACCAAGTATTCTGTGACATAATATCTGCTAGCAAAGTCAGTCTCATTTTCTTCCTTCAAGGTCTTCCTCAAGGTAATCCTCTGGTTGTGGCTGCTCTTTTACAGTCTCTACTGATTACAATGCTGGGTTGGAAAAGCCAAAGTTATTTTATGTTATAGATTCTTTCATATATCTTCTCTAATCTTCTCTGCCAGGCAGAACTATTTATGGTGCCAGGCCATCTTTCCAAGAGCTTCTGTTGGCTTGCTTGAGATCTGCCTTAGTTCCACAGTTTTCTGCCTTAATCTTCAGATATGACATTCCAGTCAAAGCCCTGTCCAATAACAAGTATTTCCAACTTCTTATTCAAGGCAACAGGCATTATTGAACTTATACAAATAACCGTTCTGCCACAAAATAAGAATACTCCCAAATATTTTCCAATTCCAGAGGAGTCAGGAAAGGATAAAAGTTTATGTTTCCATTTAAAGAAACAAAGAAGAAGAAAAAACATTTTAACAAATTGTTGAACCTATCAACAGCTCAAAAGAAAGCAAAATCCTTAAATTGGGAAAACACAGCATAGTAAAAAGAAAATCAGTAATGTTTTACTCGAAAGTCCTAAAAGTCTATTTCACCTGTTCAGTCTTATGTAATTAATCTCTCTTCTGCAGTGTCACTGTGGTCTGATCTTTCTGTTTAAATCTTGGAGGCTAACATTCAAGGTTGTTATTGATATTTCTTGTCCTTAGCATTAAGTGGGTCTTTTTTGTTTGCTTTTGGTTCTCTTATTTCTGTATGGGTATCTTTAGTTTTCCTGGTAATTTCTTGGAAAGCTGGTCTGGTATTGGTATTCATGGCCTGTACCTCACACCAGGAAAATACTGAGCAGGCTGGAGGAGGGCTTTCCCTGGACCTCCTTAGATTTACCCTAACTCCCCAGTCATATTTCTCTCACTCTTCTGATTGCACAACTTTTAGATTTCACACTTATATAGTGACTGAATACCCTCTCCACACCTTACGCACAGTCTCCTTGAATTTCTTCCCTGAAGCTAAGTGCACCATTACCTTAGTCTGCCTTATGAATGAATTTAATCATGTTCATGCAAACCAAAGATAGGTACAAGAGGGTCTTATTTCCTATACCAACATATTTCTACTTTATGCATTGGAGGCAGCCTGGTGCACAGTAGGGCTTCAACACATATTTGGTGAAGGACGAATACAATAAAAAATGGTGGGCCCCAGTTTGGAGCCACTGTGCATTGATTGAGAACATATATTTCCAATACAAAGTGCCAGATACCTAGGACTCAGAAAATAACCAGTCTCTATTCTAGACTTTCTTCTGATTGTCATTGCCATTGGGCCATCTGGTTCCATATAGCA